ATAGATCACCAGATATCGGTCGCAGATTGACTGGGTATAGCTTGTTAGGTTCAGGCTAACCCGCGACCCTTCGGCCACGACAATTTGCCAATCGCAGGCAATGGCACTTTTCGCAAAATGCATATATGGGGAGTGTATGGAGCCTGTTACAGAGGTTAGCCTACCGCCACAACCAGCCCCGGTCTGCTGCCACTGCACAAGGAATCCCGATTCCTCATTGGAGTTGTCCGAATGAAACTTTAGGAACAGGTCGTGACTGAACGATACGATCCGAGATGGGATGGAATCGCAGTATTTTCCTATCAGCGGCGAGTCCTCCCCATGCCCGTTTCTATGGGATGAAGGCATCGTATTAGTCTTAAAGTTAAACTGGAATTTGGAGATCATTATTATACCTTATCTCCAGCCAGTCAGAATAGCAATTAAACATATTCTCCAGTGTAAAGTTCTTCACAATTAGCTCTATTTGGTGGCCAATTGGAGCTTGAATGTGCCAACTGCAGTCCGTGTTAGCGCCATAGGGCTTTGGCCAGTTCGGGGACTTGATGTATCCAAAGCGAGAAGTATATGTCGAGCCACATTCCACTAATTAAAATAAAATAACGCAAATAAACAATGTATTTTTAAAAATTATTATATTGTATCTGAACTTACCATCATCAAACAATTTATAAGTCAAAATCACAACTTCGTGGTGATTAACGGGCTTCAGGATTAATGTAATCACAGCTCCATCAAAATTCTCATCGAAGTTTCCTTTATAGCTATAGAAAACAATACCATAATAGCAAAACAGACCAAAACAGGATAAGAACTCTAATCATTACCTGTTTAGCAAGGTTCCAGGAGTGGTGCTATTGTCATAAACATATGAATACACTTCACCTGACAAAGTTGAGAGAGCCAACCTTATCCTTCCTGGAGTCTCATAAATATACTGGCAGTACTGACGGAGGCCCATCAATTGGCGTCCCATGGGCTTCGTAAAAGTACCACCACATACTGAAGAGCGAATTCTACGGTACTCTAGTCGAAGTCCACGTCCATTGTGAGATCCGTGGAAGACTAAGCTAAGGATATTGCTCTGGGACACCATATGAAGGTTCATAGCCGATTTTACAAAACGCTGCGGCTCTTCACCACGTGCCAGGTACATCTAAGTAACTTCCTGATTAAATATCTACTTAAGTTAGTTAATCGACAAAGCACTTACGTCCAGATAATATTTCTGCCTTTCATTATCCGATGTTCCCAAGGAAAGATCCGTAATGTTGATATCTGCCACCCAACCGGGTCGCAGAGTTATGTTATATGTACAGGTCATGTCGTTCGGATAGGAATTGGGATAGTTTGGAGTGGTGATAATCCCCGACGAACCACTAAAGCTTTCACTGCAGACTATGAATTAAATATGAAACTGTGAAGTTCAGGGTTCAGAAAATGAAGCACTTACCTCGGCTGTAGCTTAAATCGAAACTCTTCTTCAGACGTATTCCAGTTAAAGCGTACTCGTACCGCACCAGGATCACATTACTGCTGGAGGTTAGTGGCTCCATCTCACTGGCCTCTGGTTTCCCACACAATCGTCGCATAAGGCGCGACTCTGGGCTGCGTCCATCATAGATCTCTATTTTCTGCAGCGAACAATCCTCGGAATTTATAAGGTTGACCTGGTCGAAGACCAGCTTCACCTGCGTCTCCTTTGGCTGTTCGATAAGGTAGAGACAGACCTCGGCGTTCATGTGGCCACTAATGTGTCCGCTAGGATCCGTAAAGACGCCCCCGCATCCTGGCTCACCGGGCACCACCTCGAAGTGCAGTTGGAACGAACTGTCCAAGCCGTGAGAGTCCGTATGAAATTTCAAGACAAGGCGGTTCGAGGAACTATGTAGGGGCGCCGGCTGGGCTGATCGACAGGCCTGGAATAGTTTTCGATCCGAATCGTAGATCATCACATAATCCTCGGTGCAGTTCTCCGCTCCCGAAGCACTGCTGCCTAGGTCAATGCCGTAAAATCGAAGGAGCAGCCGGGTGCCATAAGGCGCCGTCAAATCCCACCGACAGTCTATTGCCGGGCTAGCCTTGCCAGGATAGCCGGGGGACCTTAGCACTCCGCTCTGGCCGAGGGTCAGGTTATCAAAGGTCTCCCCGCAGGAGAAGGGCAACGAGTTCCATACCAGACGAAATCCCCTGCCTTGAGTCTGGTTGTCAGATCGGAACCATAGGAAGGCTTGCTCCTGGGAGGTGACGACCGTTCCGTGGTCCAGTGGCAGTTCAGAGCCACAGAATCGACCCATCATCCGTGTGGCCAAGGAATTGCCATCGTGCACTTGAAGGAAATCTGCAGAACAGTCCGGACTCTTCTGCAAATCGAACTGGGTGAAGGTCAGGTTGAGTACCAAGCCGGGACTGGTGCGAATAATTAAGGGACATCGCTCGTCCGCCTCATAAGTGCCGTTCTCCGCATTGGGTGGAAAATTGAGTACCCCGGATGGCCCGCGGAGAGTGGCCCCACAAAAGATTCGCCGGTGGGCGCATAGCGTTCCAGTGAAGCCAGCTGGACAGTAGCACTGGTAGGTGTTGCCCGGTAGCAGTCGACAGGAGCCTCCGTTGAGGCAAGGACTCGGGTGGCAGGCGTCCGAGGAGTTGCATAAGGCGCCCATGTACCCAGGCTGGCAGATGCAAGTAGTTCCCCTGCCATTCTCCACGCAGGTTCCATTGTTCAAGCAGGGGTGCTCGTCACAGGGCTTCCGGTTGGGATCCCTGGTGCATCCATCAGCTCCATAGCCATGCCCATAGCTGCCCACCGGACAGGTGCACACCATCGTCCCGGAGATGTACTCGCACTTGGCCTGCGGATGGCAGATCTTCTCGTGGTCGCAGGAATTCGAATTGGCTGCCGTGCAGTTGCGACCGTCCCCGATCCATCCCGGCGGACAGCGGCCGCAGATGTGTGAGCCCTCCGTATTGAAGCACCTCACCCGGGGCTGGAGACTGCAGCCTCCATTGTCTTCACCCGCACACTCGTCTACATCCCTGCAGATGCGTCCATCGCCGGTGTAACCAGGTGGACAGGGACCGCAACGAAAACTGCCGGGAAGATTAATACACTCGCTGTGGCAGGGATTCACTCGACGCTCACACTCGTCCACGTCTCTGGAGCAGGGGCTCGCCGTAGCCGCCGTGGCATTCGCATCGGCCCACGTCCATCCCTGATTGCAGACGCAAACGTAACCGGCGGCGTTGCCGGTCTGGATGCATGTTCCGTGCTCACCACACAACTCCGAGGCTCCAATGCCCAGACAGGAGTTCCGACGTACTCGACAGTGGGTGCCGGAGAAGCCGTTCCGGCAGACACAGCTGTAAGGGTGATTAGATTTAGACGTGACTGTTCTGGGCGGAGTTTCCACACCCACCTATAGCTTCCAGGTGTATTGATGCACTGGCCATTATTCAGGCAGCCGGCTAGATCCGTTCCTGCGAACTCGGAGCACTCGTTCACATCATCCTCGCAAGTAGGACCCTTAAATATAGAAAATAATATTTGTCATAAGGGAGAATAGAGACATCAGTTCCAAAATACGCCCCACATTCGTGTTTTTTTTTTTTGGAAAGACGCCCCCGTCGTGGTACTCACTTGCCATCCGGAGGCACATACGCACTGGAATGCCTTGTAGGCATCATAGCAGGTCCCTCCGTTCTTGCACGGATTCCCTACGCATTCATCCTGGGCTAGATTATAGACCAGAGTCAGCAGGGTGGCCTTTAATCTCTCCACACGCTGCAACTGACGGCGCAGGTTCCTTTGGCTGTAACTACTGCGTAGCGTGGTGTTCCTGGAGTTGAAGACTCTATTCTGGACCCTCGTCATTTTTCGCTCCACGTCGCGGAACTGATCTCTGACCACGTCTACGGAAAGGGGCTCTCTCCGAGCAACCGCCTGCCGACTGGCCAGGATCGACTTGCGCCGCCGGAGCACTGCTACCATATTCACATCGTTGATCATCAACGAGGATGCATCTCCCATCAACCGGAGGGTTATATTCTGATCTCTAGCAGCTTCGATCACCAAGTTTTCATTTGTTTTTCTTGAAATTCTAGCACGTTGTTCCAGATCATCGTGTGATCCCTTTATGGATACGATTTGAAGGCACAAAAATAGCACAATGGGTAAACTCAAATATTTATGTAGCATTTTCAATCATTTTGGGTTAAAAACTTCACTAAATTATTAATTAAATGTATAATCTAAGTAGGTAGTTTAAAGGGTCCGAATTCGAATTGATCTTCACGAGAGGCGTTATCCGCGGATACTGGTACCGGACCAGCATTGATTTCCGAATTTATAAGCCCTAAAAGTGGGCGTTTCCGATACTGGAGAGAATATGGAATCTATTGTATAGAATAGTGATAGATTCTGAAAGACATTGTACATGTGTGTATATTTGGGTAAATGTGAGTATATATCAATCTTTATTTTAATAAATAATATTTAATAAATAACAATATATTTTTTAACAATATACATTTTTAATATTTATTGCATTATCAGTTAAAACACTGTTGGGTGCAGATTCAATTAAAATTTAAATGAAACCAAAGCCTCATCGGCAATGACCTCATCGGTTTGCAATAAGTTAGACATATTAACTCAGTATCCAAGAGATAATCAGGTACTCTTGTATCTACATATGTAGCTGTTGTATGGCTTTTCGTAAAAATCGGAGTACACAGGAGTATGTGTATATCTAAGCTATAGTGTGTACTTTATGTAATACCAGCAAACCCGGCAAAGTAGTACCTGTGCTTTTTTTTTATAGAAAGGATTGGTTTTTTTTTTTATTTATTTGGGCTAATACATATTTTAATACATATACATCGCCAATATCAAACAGTTGTTTGCCTCTTTCAATTGCTTTGCGTTTTATTGATTTATAATTGGTGTAACCTAAAACGCCTTTCTTTTATATCTCTATGATATATTAATTATCTTTACAATTTTAAGAAAAAACTGGGCTTATATTGATAAAGAATCCCATTCCATCGAAATTTGGTGATTTTTTGGCGACAATAATCACCCCGGTATTGGTGAGGGTAAAGTCACTCGGTAAGGTTGATCCACAGAAAGATTTCAGCAGAGATACCTTGGTGCTGTCGGATTCATAAAACTTTACATTGTCCAATTGGCAATTCGCTTCCGCGCCCATGTTGAAGTCTAAAAGATAATTACAATTAAACATCATTAATTTAAATGTTAAGAAAAAATACCGCTGAAGCTTATACGAAGGAGAGCACCGGGTGGGGCCATCAAATGCCAGGAACATGTGGAATGATTTCGTCCTTCGTAAGGGGGATTTTTTATATAAACTGCGTCTTTTCCGCTCACAATTATTTCACCGCCACAACCGCTAGGTAAATTATTTTTGGTAGAGTAATAGAACATATTCAGTAAACTAACTTCGTGGCTGTCGATACGAAGCTCATTGGTTTTTGTAAATATAGGCTTTGGGTCCCATGCAGTTACCGTCCTCGAATAGAGTGTCTGATTGGTTTTTACATCTGTGACCTGAAAAATAAATAAATTAACTTTAATACATGCTTAATACTTTCAAAGTATTTTGATAAATTACATTCAAAAATTGTGATGAGACTTCATTAAATGCCACACTCGCGATATAGAGCGTAATGCTGTAACCTTCCGGAACTAGAATATACTCCGTGCAGTTAATTAGATTCAAGCCCGCAATTTCCTGACTAATTGATGTATAGTTTCGATTACAAGCTAAAAAAATTACAAATATATATATTATTTTAAGAGATTAATTTTAAAATAATTATGCACATAAAACTTACCAGGTTTTCGACGCGCAACCACTTCAAAACCCATTGATTCCTCCAACCCTTCACTGTGGAAATTTAACTCCAGAGGGAACTGGCTGAGATCCTCAATAAACTTGTAGGTTTTGTTGAATTCTCCACACAAGTATTGTGATCTCTGTAAGGGGAATGAATCACTAAGAATTCAAGATCTAATTTTAAAAATAATTACGTAAGATTTGGAAATTTTCAGGTAGTCTTCGCATTTTCCGGTTTTCTGAGAAAAGTCCTTGAGCTGTAGCCATTTTAAATCGAACTCCACATCATCTTTCGCTCTAATGGACCAACGGCATTCAATGCTTCCCTCGTATCCTTCTGTGGTGTTGTCGTATTGAAGACCCACCGTAATACTCTGATGGAGAAATCCAGGTTTTTGGGATTAAATTTCGAACGAAAACATACCAATCTTACCTCATTTGATTGTATTTCGTATTCTGATTGGCCGCACACGCTCTTTTCCATCTGGATGATGAGCTCGAAGCTAATGTTCCTGGCCCTCTGAGCTGAGGCGCTCAAGTGGATGCTCAAGTCACCATAGGAGCTGAACAACTTGGTCCGGTTAGATCCCAATCCGTAGTACTTGCCGAGGCTCTGGTTATTTATTGCATTTTTGTCTATGATTTCGATATGGTTGCATGTGTTGCAGGTGGCATCATTAAGTTGCAGCTTCCGGATCTCAACAGAGAGACGGTAGCCCGGCGGAACTGTGGCAGTGAAGTAGCATAGCATCCAGTCGGAGGCGTTTAAGTGGTATGTCCGCATCAGATTCATGCGGGGCACATCCGCGTCCAGGGTCACAGGTTCGTTGCAGTTCGGAGTGAAATGCACGCTGGCCAGGAAACCCCGGAAGTTGTTTGAGGCATCAGTTTCTGACACGATCAGTGCCTCGTTGCTGTCAACCATGATGGTGGGTGGGACTGTCTGATTGCCACACAGTTTCACCTCCGGATTTGAGCTGACCACGCCGCCGCGATAAACGGAAAGACTATCGAACTGGCAATGGTTGGCCTTCTCCAGGTCGAAGTACTTGAACTTCAGCACAATGGCATGCTGAGGTGGGGCAGTAACGCGCCACTGGCACTTTGTATTGTGGGCGTACCCTCCAGCCTCCTCGTCCTGGGGCGGACGCAAGGCGAAGGGTTCACTGTAGTTGCCACCACATCCGATAAGATGGAAGCTAATGTCAAAGAATCGCGGGGCGGAGATATGGACCTTCAACCGCAGCCTGCGGTATCCACTCACCTCGAAGTCCGGGCACATCCGGCCGACGCTGTTCTCCACCTCCTGATCGTCTCGACGGAACACCTCAAAGTAGTTCATCTTGCAGAATTCGGAGTTCCAAGGACGACCTCTTCCGTTGACATTAACCACCAATTGGTGTTCCGTTTCTGTGAAGAACTCATAGCTGCAGCTATCATATTTGGCAAAAGATGCCCATCTCGGGTTTCTGAGTGTCTGTAGATCGAACCCGGCCCGGAGGACAACATCGCAACTGGGGGCGACGGTAAAAGTAAAACCATCTCCGGTTATGTTGCTATTTGTGCGGAATATCACTCGTAGTCGAGAGGATTGAACGGGTAGGACCCCAGGTGCTTGGCGACCGCAGAGACTGACTATTTCCTCATACTCCGATGTGGTCTTGTTGTAGCTCTCGATGCTCAGTCGATCGTTGGAGCAGTTGGGTGAGGTTTCGATAAAGAAGCGACCCTGGAACTCGACCCGAAGTGTGAGTGGATCGTCGGCCTCAAACTCCCAGATTTTTTCCATATTATTGACGTAATCCTTACTGTTTATAATCACTGGAGTCGAGGGTCCCCGAGTTACGCGTATAATGTTCCCTGATAAAATCGATTTTCTTGCCACCAACGTGAAACTACTCCTGCCCGGCACTCTTCGCTCTGAATGGTAAAGAATCCTGGATATCGGGTTGGTCAGAAGGATCGTTTTGTTTTGCATTCCACGACAAAACCGATCCCCCTCAACGGAGCCACTAAAGATCACAAGGTACTCTCGATCGCAGCTGTCGGTGAGACTGACATTTCCGACCAAATAATATCCTCTACTAGATTTTAATGTCCACACGCACTCCACCTCCCCGTAGTCCTCATCCACGGTGTTTAGGAGCTCTGGTGTTCCGATGGAAAGATCGTCGGATGCTGGGAATACTCCACCACAATTGTGCCGGCGGTAGGAGGCCCTGAAGCGCTTCAACTTCACCCTGTCACTGTTCAGCAGTATAACGCGTCCGGATGTGGCAGGCAGTGATACGAAGCTATTGGTGACATTTTGATTCATCACCTTGTACGCCAAACGCTGGTCCTCATCCTTGAATGTTACAGCTGGAATGCTCTTGGTCTCGAACAGATACTCTTCCACCTTAAAGGTTATAGTCGTGCCTTGCTGCCCAACAAACTGGATGCTGCAGTAGTAACTGGATATCTGGGCAAGATTTTGTATGGACAGGGTGCCAGATGCCTGGTCTCCGATATTGGATGGGCACACAGATGCATCACTGGAGCTATAACGAGCACGGAGCACTGTTCTGCCTAAATCCATTTGATTGGTGATTATAGTGACGAGCATGAAGTTATCCGTGGATTCAACTATTCTTGTGCCGTTGTATCTATCCAGACGGATGTCCGTGATTTTCGATAGAGAGTTCGGGTCGTTGAAGAAGGCCAACTGAGGTAAAGTATCCATGTATCGAACACTTGCAGCTCTAGAAAAGATTTATTAAAATTAAGATTTGTTGTCAGAAATAGAAAACAAAGCCTTTAATTACCTTTTGCTATCATTGCGGTTAATCATTCCAATATCGGCGAGGTTAAGGAACTCCAAGCGGACTCTCTGACCCTTGGGAACGTTGATAGACCAGCGGCATATTCTCACCCAGGTGGACGGCTCCATGGCGGAGACCTCAAGGTTTCCAGAGTCGCCGTTCACATCCCGCGAGCAAGTTCCATAGGCACGTCGGTAGTCTATCTTGAAGCCCCTAAAATTGTTGACGTTACTGATGGCCAAGAAGCGAATAGCCACCGCATTGGTGTTGAGTGTGAGGGTGGTGGGAGTGACGGTGCTTCCGTCTAGGACAGCTAGCTCAGCTCCATCGTTTTCCAAATCAATAATCTCGAGGCGATCACTGGTCTTCTTAGAGGAGGTACCATTGACATTGTAGGGAACATGCAGATCCGTGATATTTAAGTGGATGAAGTTATCCTTTGGCAATCTGATGCTGTACACACACTCCGATGGCTTGGGATAGCCACCTGGTGTGGGATAGTTCTCCGAATTAAGGGATCCCAACTGACCGGTGAATTGGCCACCACATTTGCTGAGAGACACGTTCAATCGGAACCCGCCGCTCGGCTCATCCAGGTCCGATTGATAGTGAATGAGGAGCAGGTTCCCGGTAGTGCGAATCGTGGACTTTGGCTTGTGGCATGTACGGATGAGCTGGCGGGACAGAGTGGTGGAGCCGTCAAACATTTCCACAAATTCCTCATTACAATGGCGTCGACTCAGCCCGACAGGATCCCCGAAATCTGCAGCAATGGTTTCCCCGGGAGGTGCTATCACCATCCAGGTGCAGTCCGCATGCGGATGGGGCAGGTAAGGAAAGCCCGGCGACTTAATCTCATAGCTGGGAGCCAGCTGGGTCAACTGAATCTGCCCATCACATTCGCTAAACTCCCGGTACGTAAGAGTCCACGAGCTCTTATTCCGATCGGCAGAATTTTGTGGTAGATTGTACACCACGTAGGCATGCGAGCCATTCGTTCGGTAAGAAGGTGTCTGGAATCCTTTCTGATTGCAGAATTTTCCATTGGGCATCATTGGAGCCAGTTCATCCAATCCGTCATAGATGACACCGAACGCTTGGCAAGACCCCTTCGCCGTGGACTGGACTCTACTATCGAGTTCTTCATATTGGATAGATATATCTATCTTACGCCCCGGCCTCACCTCAATATGCCATTTGCATCTTGGTTCTGAAGTTATACTTGACCACAGAATGGTGCCCACAGTCCCGGTCATATTCGAGCCGCAGACGGTTTTAATATTAACTTTAAAGCCTTTGCCACTGATCGAGGCATCGGTGTGGAACTGCAGCCTTATATTTGGAGTTCCATCAACCGTGGGCTTTGTCGAAGATGTTCGTAAAATGGTCTGGCACATATGCAGTGCATCCTTCCAGTGGCTCAAATCGTTGGAGGTCTGAATTTTCAGATAGTCAGCCGAGCACTCGGGGAACTCCTCCAATTGGAGATCGAACAAGGTCGCGGTAATGTGGCGCGTGGGATCCATTGGCTTGAAGGTCCACTCACAGTTCAAGTTGGGACGATATCCGATCGGATATCCAGGCGACTCTAGCCACACGGAGGAAGAATGAACGGAGTACTTTCTGGTGCACTCGCTGGAGGTTTGAGAGGTGATGTTACCTTCGGCCACCTCGCCGGAGAGTGCGTGCCATTTAATCCGAAATCTGTTCAGCTCCGCGTTCTTGGTCTTCAGGCAGATCACATTGCTGCTGGAAGTGAATCTCAAGGGACTGGCTTGTAGTTTCACCTCCAAGCCACTCTCGTCGTATCCATCAAAGAGCTGGAAATAATGAAGTTATTAAGGGACTTAATAACCATCACATATTACCATCAATCCTGACACATATTCCTCAAAGTCCAAAACCAAAACCATATCCCGATTCACATAAATCCTCCAAGTGTATGGTTCTTCCTCGCCGCGAACGAAAATCGGAGGCGGTGACTCTATGATTCCATTTGCTCCCGATGTTACCTCCATATTGTGGACTGCATTATTTTATAAAATTATTTAAAAATAATTAAACCTTGAACCTTACTCACCATAGTTCCAGCGAAGCCGGAAACCTCCAGCCGAATGGCCGGGAGCGCTACGGAACTTGATCCACAATGGCGAATTCACAATCAAGGATCTTGTCGGCATTTTATTGTCACAGTACACCCCCAGGAGCTGTCCCGGCAAGCCGTTTCTCAGCTCCAAGAAGTCCTCGTTGCAATGTTCCGAGCGGACAATGTCCAGAGACTCGAAGGTAACCTCCAATGCGTTACCCGGTTTGGTTTCAATTGCCCAGATGCATTCCACGTTGGGCGGATAGCTGTCCGGATAGTTGGGAGAACTGAGACTGCTACGCGGCAGAGTGATATTGCCTCCACAGGTATTCTCCAGGCTACTGTACTCCGCCTGGAGCCGGATTCCCTTGCTTAGGATGCGCACATTGTTGGCAGGCACCACCAGATTGGCCGGATGGTTTTCGCACAGCTGGAAGAGCAGAACCTCGTCGTCATCGTTGAGGATTTGTAGGCCGACTGAGCTGTTTACGGACGATGGGGATTTTGGGCACTCCAGGTTGTTAATGTGAAGGTACATTTTAGTGCCCTCCGGCGAACTAAACCGCCAATCGCACGCCTCGTCCATCCTGGATCGCAAGTAGCCCTGGCCATTCTTCAATGGTCCCCCGCACTGGCTCTGGAAGTGCATCGCGAATCGGCCCCAGGACCCGGCTTGTGCCTTGAATCGGACCTGCAGCTTCTGTCCGTGGACAACGCTAATGCGAGGCGCCTCCTCTCCGCAAGCCTTCTCCAGGAACTGCTCCGTGCCGTCCGCCTCCAGCTTGGTGAGCTCTACGACACTGGCGGAGCAGTTGGCGGAATCTGTGAGATTCAGCTGCTCAAACCACAATCGGATTCCGTAGCTATCGGTGACCTACAAACGGATATGGTAATCCTCATAATTCTTAGTCCTTATAGACGAGTTCTACATACCTGAACAATCCAAATACACTCCACACTTGTCGTGAAGTTCGCCAAGTTGCTACTGTCCGGGATGTCGTGGAAGCCGGGAGTGGTTATGATACCATTGCTAGCTGTTATGGAGCCACCACATTTGGGCGGCACCTGAACGTAACTGGCTTTGAAATACTTTCTGGCCGGAGTGGAGCCACCAACAAAATGAACCCTCAGCTCATGGCCCGGCGATCTGAAGTACTGAGTCTGGGTCTCCTCGTGGCAACCAACATACAGAGCTACCGATTTGTTGAAGCCAGCTGGAGCGGTTACTTTGATCACATCCGTATCGCCGCAAGGACTCTGGGATGGCTCGAAGTGAACTTCGTGGAGCAGGAGCATTATTTGCTTGCCCTCGGGTGCCGTGATGATCCAATCGCACTCCATGTCTACGCTAAATGGTAGTTTCGGTGATTCAAAGCGGCCACCCAACTCACGGAAATGTTCGCCGCATCCCACGCGACGATACTCCGCCCGGAAGCCCTGATCCTCCACAGAATTGTCGGATGCGAATTGCAGGAGCAGCCGATTCCCAACACTAGTATAGGAGGGCATGGACTCCGCCGTGCACAGATGATGTTCGCTTATCACTTCGTTGTCTTGCATATCGATCACCTTCAGATAATCATTGTCGCACTCCGTAACATCGACGTATGGCTCGATTGAGAGATGTGAAAGGACGAGTTGCAGGTGATTGGAGCGTCCGCCGGCTCGTATGTCCCATTCGCAGTTTAAATTTGGCGGATACGGATCCGGGAAGTTTGGTGATTGAATGGCGCCCTCTAAACCGTCCAGACGAACTCGACATTCGGTTTTATAGTCCAGCACAAAATTCATATCTGCATCGGCACTCACATCGTATCGAACCAGGACCCGATTACCGGTGGAAATCAGTCCCGGGGCTGTAGTGCCATTGCAAACCATATTTAGGGCAGGACTCGAGGTGGTAGGTCCATCATAGATCACCAGATATCTGTCGCAGATTGACTGGGTATAGCTTGTTAGGTTCAGGCTAACCCGCGACCCTTCGGCCACGACAATTTGCCAATCGCAGGCAATGGCACTTTTCGCAAAATGCATATATGGGGAGTGTATGGAGCCGGTTACAGAGGTTAGCATACCGCCACAACCTGCCCCGGTCTGCTGCCACTGCACAAGAAATCCCGACTCCTCATTGGAGTTGTCCGAATGAAACTTTAGGAACAGGTCGTGACTGAACGATACGATCCGAGATGGGATGGAATCGCAGTATTTTCCTATCAGCGGCGAGTCCTCCCCATGCCCGTTTCTATAGGATGAAGGCATCGTATTAGTCTTAAACTGGAGTTTGGAGATCATTATCATACCTTATCTCCAGCCAGTCAGAAAAGCAATCAAACATATTCTCCAGTGTAAAGTTCTTCACAATTAGCTCTATTTGGTGGCCAATTGGAGCTTGAATGTGCCAACTGCAGTCCGTGTTAGCGCCATAGGGCTTTGGCCAGTTCGGGGACTTGATGTATCCAAAGCGAGAAGTATATGTCGAGCCACATTCCGCTAATTAAAATAAAATAATGCAAATAAGCAGTGTATTTTTAAAAATAATTATATTGTTTCCGAACTTACCATCTTTAACCAATTGATAAGTCAACATCACAAGTTCGTAGTGATTAACTGGTTTCAGGATTAATGTAATCACATCTCCATCAAAATTCTCATCAAAGCTTCCTTTATAGCTATAGAAAACAATACCATAATTGAAAATCAGAGCAGATCAGGATAAAAATTCGAAGCCTTACCTGTTTAGTAGGGTTCCAGGAGTGGTGCTATTGTCATAAACATATGAATACACTTCACCTACCAAAGTTGTGAGAGCCAACTTCTTCCTTCCTGGAGTCTCATAAATATACTGGCAGTACCGACGGAGGCCCATCATATGATGTCCCATGGGCTTCGTAATAGTGCCACCACATACTGAAGAGCGAATATCGCGGTACTCTAGTCGAAGTCCACGTCCATTGTGAGATCCGTGGAAGACTAAGCTAAGGACATTGCTCTGGGACACCATATGAAGGTTCATAGCCGATTTTACAAAACGCTGCGGCTCTTCACCACGTGCCAGGTACATCTAAGTAACTTACTGATTAAATATCTACTTAAGTTAGTTAATCGACAAAGCACTTACGTCCAGATAATATTCCTGCCTTTCGTTATCCGATGTTCCGAAGGAAAGATCCGTAATGTTGATATCTGCCACCCAACCGGGTCGCAGAGTTATGTTATATGTACAGGTCATGTCGTTCGGATAGGAATTGGGATAGTTTGGAGTGGTGATAATCCCCGACAAACCACTGAAGCTACCGCTGCAGACTATGAATTACATATGAAACTATGAAGTTCAGGGTTTAGAAAATGAAGCACTTACCTCGGCTGTAGCTTAATTCGAAACTCTTCTTCAGACGTATTCCAGTTAAAGCGTACTCGTACCGCACCAGGATCACATTACTGCTGGAGGTTAGTGGCTCCATCTCACTGGCCTCTGGTTGTCCACACAATCGTCGCATAAGGCGCGACTCTGGGCTGCGTCCATCATAGATCTCTATTTTCTGCAGCGAACAATCCTCGGAATTCAGAAGGTTGACCTGGTCGAAGACCAGCTTCACCTGCGTCTCCTTTGGCTGTTCGATAAGGTAGAGACAGACCTCGGCGTTCATGTGGCCACTAATGTGTCCGCTAGGATCCGTAAAGACGCCCCCGCATCCTGGCTCACCGGGCACCACCTCGTAGTGCAGTTGGAACGAACTGTCCAAGCCGTGAGAGTCCGTATGAAATTTTAAGACAAGGCGGTTCGAGGAACTATGTAGGGGCGCTGGTTGGGCAGATCGACAGGCCTGGAATAGTTTGCGATCCGAATCGTAGATCATCACATAATCCTCGGTGCAGTTCTCCGCTCCCGAAGCACTGCTGCCTAGGTCAATGCCGTAAAATCGAAGGAGCAGCCGGGTGCCATAGGGCGCCGTCAAATCCCACCGACAGTCTATTGCCGGGCTAGCCTTACCAGGATAGCCTGGGGACCTTAGCACTCCGCTCTGTCCGAGGGTCAGGTTATCAAAGGTCTCCCCGCAGGAGAAGGGCAACGACTTCCATACCAGACGAAATCCCCTGCCTTGAGTCTGGTTGTCGGATCGGAACCATAGGAAGGCCTGCTCCTGGGAGGTGATGACCGTTCCGTGGTTCAGTGGCAGTTCAGAGCCACAGAATCGACCCATCATCCGTGTGGCCAAGGAACTGCCATCGTGCACTTGAAGGAAATCTGCAGAACAGTCCGGACTCTTCTGCAAATCAAACTGGGTGAAGGTCAGGTTGAGTACCAAGCCGGGACTGGTGCGAATAATTAAGGGACATCGCTCGTCCGCCTCATAAGTGCCGTTCTCCGCATTGGGTGGAAAATTGAGTACCCCGGATGGCCCGCGGAGAGTGGCCCCACAAAAGATTCGCCGGTGGGCGCATAGCGTTCCAGTGAAGCCAGCTGGACAGTAGCACTGGTAGGTGTTGCCCGGTAGCAGTCGACAGGAGCCTCCGTTGAGGCAAGGACTCGGGTGGCAGGCGTCCGAGGAGTTGCATAAGGCGCCCATGTACCCAGGCTGGCAGATGCAAGTAGTTCCCCTGCCATTCTCCACGCAGGTTCCATTGTTCAAGCAGGGGTGCTCGTCACAGGGCTTCCGGTTGGGATCCCTGGTGCATCCATCAGCTCCATAGCCATGCCCATAGCTGCCCACCGGACAGGTGCACACCATCGTCCCGGAGATGTACTCGCACTTGGCCTGCGGATGGCAGATCTTCTCGTGGTCGCAGGAATTCGAATTGGCTGCCGTGCAGTTGCGACCGTCCCCGATCCATCCCGGCGGACAGCGGCCGCAGATGTGTGAGCCCTCCGTATTGAAGCACCTCACCCGGGGCTGGAGACTGCATCCTCCATTGTCTTCACCCGCACACTCGTCCACATCCCTGCAGATGCGTCCATCGCCGGTGTAACCAGGTGGACAGGGACCGCAACGAAAACTGCCGGGAAGATTAATGCACTCGCTGTGGCAGGGATTCACTCGAGGCTCACACTCGTCCACGTCTCTGGAGCAGGGACTCGCCGTAGCCGCCGTGGCATTTGCATCGGCCCACGTCCATCCCTGATTACAGACGCAAACATAACCAGCGGCGTTGCCGGTCTGGATGCAGGTTCCGTGCTCTCCGCACAACTCCGAGGCTCCAATGCCCAAACAGGAGTTCCGACGTACTCGACAGTGGGTGCCGGAGAAGCCGTTCCGGCAGACACAGCTGTAAAGGTGATTAGATTAAGACGTGACTGTTCTCGGAAGGAGTTTCCAAACCCACCTATAGCTTCCAGGTGTATTGATGCACTGCCCATTATTGAGGCAGCCGGCTAGATCCGTTCCTGCAAACTCGGAGCACTCGTTCACATCATCCTCGCAAGTAGGACCCTCAAATATAGAAAATAATATTTGTTATAAGGGAGTATAGAGACATCAGTTCCAACTGAAAAAATACGCCCCACATTCGTGGTTTTTTTGGAAAGACGCCCCCGTCGTGGTACTCACTTGCCATCCGGAGGCACATACGCACTGGAATGCCTTGTAGGCATCATAGCAGGTCCCTCCATTCTTGCACGGACTCCCCTGGCACTCGTCCTGGGCTAGATTATAGACCAGAGTCAGCAAGGTGGACCTTAATCTCTCCACTCTCCGCAACTGACGACGCAGGTTCCGCTGGCTGTAACTACTGCGTAGAGTGGTGTTCCTGGAGTTGAAGACTCTATTCTGTACCCTCGTCATTTTTCGCTCCACATCGCGGAACTGATCTCGGACCACGTCTACGGAAAGGGGCTCTCTCCGAGCAACCGCCTGTCGACTGGCCAGGATCGACTTGCGCCGCCGGAGCACTGCTACCATATTCACATCGTTGATCATCAACGAGGATGCATCTCCCATCAACCGGAGGGTTATATTCTGATCTCTAGCAGCTTCGATCACCAAGTTTTCATTTGTTTTTCTTGAAATTCTAGCACGTTGTTCCAGATCATCGTGTGATCCCTTTATGGATACGATTTGAAGGCACAAAAATAGCACAATGGGTAAACTCAAATATTTATGTAGCATTTTCAATCATTTTGGTTTAAAAACTTCACTAAATTCTTAATTAAATGTTTAATCAAAGCAAGTAGTTTAAAGGGACCGAATTCGAATTGATCTTCACGAGAGGCGTTATCCGCGGATACTGGTACCAGACCAGCATTGATTTCCGAATTTATAAGCCCTAAAAGTGGGCGTTTCCGATACTGGAGAGAGTTTGGAGTCTATAGTATAGAATATTGAATAGTGATAGAAACTAAGAGATATTCTACATGTGTGTAATTCCCTAGTATTGTTCAAAATATGTAAAAACTCATTGAAATTAAAGGTATTTTTATAATCCAAAAATGTTTAAACATAATTTTTATTACATCTTAGATTCTAAACATGAGAGGATTAATCATATTAATCATAACTTGACCTGATCCCGAGTTGAATCTGAACTCATTCAAACTAAACTGATAAGATTCTATTCTGTAAGACAAACTATAAACGATTGGTATGATTGTTTTTGGGTTGAGCACTCTGGACTTTGAATCCAGCGATCCGAGTTCAAATCTCGGTAGAACCTTAAAGTAAGAATGCAATTTTTTTCTTTTAATAAATTTAGGAACTGAGTTTTTAGAACCCTTTAAATATTTTTAAATCAATATAGTCGGTAGAATAAATCGGTTTATAAATCGTATATATAGTAAAATTCGCATATTAATCGTCGGTATAAATCTCGGTAGAACCTTAAAGTACCATTGTAATTTTTTAGTTTTAATAAATTTAGAAATTGATTTTTTAGAAACCCTAAAATATTTTTAAATCAATATAGCAGGATTGGGAGATGTGTAATATTATATTTTAATTGGTAATTAAAGATACCTATATGTTTGGTAAAAATAAAAGGTAAAACGCATCTAAAAGATTTTAAATCCAAAAGCTGATTATAATAATTATTAATGCTGGGTATTTGAAAGTTTAATTTGTAGATGCATCAATCAAATATATTTTATATATTTATTGCATTATCAGTTGAAACACTATTGGGTGCAGATTCTATTCAATTCAAATGAAACCGAAGCCCAATCGACAATGACCTTGCAAGCAATTTGCACAATATTTGACATATTAACTCAGTATCCAAGAGATAAGCAGATACACTTGTATCCATGTATCTGTTGTATGGCTTTTCATAAAAATCGTCGTCATGACAACGAGAGTGAAAGCAAATTAAATCAATTTAGCTAAAACGAAACCAAGTTGTGGGAAATAAACTGCCATCTGTAGGCACAAGAGTATGTGTATATCTAAGCAGATATAGTATGCATTTAATGTACTATTTATAAGTATAAAAACAAAAATCAGCTGGTGGCAGTACGAGCCCCCAACTAGGGAGACTTGTTGGGGAGACTTGTTGTTCCATATTCGTGTGGATTTTTTTCCTCTCCGTCCGTTCAGTCGCGAACGAGTCGTCGAGGGGATCTGGACAAACGCCAATCAGTCCTCTAAATAAAATATTATTTTTGCACATTATAGAGACACCAGCGGCATTATGTCAATTTTCTCAAAAATGCTACTCTTCCGAGGGGGTAAGACAGAACTATATATAATCTTTATATGTGCTTTTTGAATACCTATATTATGAACATGAATTTATTATAAATTTAACGTTGATTTTAAGCTTTAAAGAAATAGAAACCTTTCAAGATATCTAGTTTTTTTTTGCCTTTATCCTAAAATGAAATAATTAAGTATTATCCTTAATATTTAATATTTCTTCTATCCCCTAGTAGCTGGACGTCATTATAGCGCCGCAGCTCAGATTCAACTCCGGGATATCTTGAGCACCCAGCTGGCTGGGATTAAGGAGGCAGGTACCTTCAAGGCCGAAAGGATCATTACCTCCTCCCAGAGCACTCAGATCACAGTGCAGGGAAGCGATCAGAAGATTTTAAACTTTTGCGCAAACAACTATCTAGGATTGGCGGTAGGATTATAAAATTTATAGAGGGATCTATTCATTTTTAAGAATTTCTTCGATTTCAGAACAATCCGGAGATTGTAAACTACAGCCAGAAGTTATTGGAGCAGTACGGAGCTGGGTTGAGCTCCGTACGGTTCATTTGCGGTACCCAGGACATTCACAAGCAGTTGGAGCGCAAGATAGCCCAGTTCCATGGACGCGAGGACACCATCTTGTATGCCTCTTGTTTTGATGCCAATGCCGGGCTGTTTGAGGCCATTCTTACCCCGGAGGATGCGGTGTTCTCCGATGAACTCAATCACGCCTCGATCATCGACGGAATCCGGCTGTGCAAGGCCAAGAAGCAGCGCTACAAGCACCGGGATCTAGCCGATCTGGAGCAGCAGTTGAAAGCCAGTGATGCCCGCCTCAAGCTAATTGCCACCGATGGAGTCTTCTCCATGGATGGCAACATTGCTCCCCTGGCCCGCATCGTGGAACTGGCCAAGAAGTACAATGCTCTGGTGTTTGTCGATGAATGCCATGCCACCGGGTTCTTTGGCGACACCGGAAGGGGAACTGAGGAATACGCCAATGTTATGGGTGAAGTGGACATTATCAACTCCACGTTGGGCAAGGCTTTGGGTGGAGCATCTGGTGGTTATACTACCGGACCTTCCGAGCTTATCACATTCCTGCGCCAAAAGTCCAGGCCGTATCTTTTCTCGAACACGCTGCCACCCGCGGTGGTGGCTGTGGGTCTGAAGGTGATGGACATGCTGCTGACCTCCAGTGAGCTCACCCAGCGAGTCCAGAGCAACACACAGCATTTCAGGAAGGCCATGACAAAGGCTGGGTTCACCATTGCCGGTGAGAACCATCCCATCTGTCCTGTGATGTTGGGCGATGCTCGATTGGCTTCTAAGTTTGCCGACGAGATGTTGAGTAAGTCTAATGTCCTCTTATCCTGTGAATCCCTCTTAATCGTTGTTGTCTTCCAGCTCGTGGTATTTATGTCATTGGGTTCAGTTACCCGGTGGTGCCTCAAGGGAAGGCCCGCATCCGCGTTCAAATCTCTGCCGCCCATACTGAGCCGGAAATCGATCGGGCTATTTCGGCCTTTATCGAAGTGGGTCGTTCTCTGAAAGTGATCCAGTAAAGTGATCCTCCAGCACTGCATCCAGCATTTATATTAAAGGAAACTGCATTTATAAACCATATTTGAAGAAAACTATTCATTTAGCAAAAGCTGTGTGTGTATGACGTTGCTTTATTTGGTTCGTAAGATTAACTAAAAAAAATAATCATTTACTAGGTAAACAATAGTCTGTTGCAGTTGGGTTTACACCATTTAAAGTTTAAACTTAAGCTTAAATTGCACATAAATGAAAGACTGGCCCAAGTCGGTAAATGCACGCGCCAACTTATTTGAGCACAATATAACACAATTATACTTAAAAATCAATAACAAATAATGGGAGTCAGGTAACAAAAAAGGTAATAAACAATTAAGGAGAGTGTGTGGGGTTGGATCGTCGGCTGGCTGAATCCTTAAATACCTATGGCTTTAGCTAAAAAATGGGAAATATTAAAGGTGATTTAAAACGTACTTTTCTATGGGTCTCGTACAAATCGTTAAAATGTCTTTATGCCAATTTCAGTTCAAGGATTCAAGCCGCAACCGGATACTTTTACAAAGCGCGAAATATGAGTAGATTGGGCTAGGAGTACTGAGGTGTACATATTGCGTTGACTATAAATACTTTGGTTAGTTTTGTGTTCGCTTGAGATTGGTTAAATTCAGTTTAATTCGATTCGAGCCTGTTTCGAGTACGACTACTTGTTGACCAGGCCACGAGCCTTCGGATACGCAGAGGCTGGCTTCTTGGCCGGAACCCGGCCCGTGGGTGGACGGCGGTTGGAGTCGATGGTGGAGCCGGCACTCGGCAGTCCCCGGCCGGATTTGATGCTCCGCACGGCAGGTACAGAGGCACCAACAGCTGTAGCGGTTCCCGTGCCAGCTCCTCCGTTTGCATTTGCGTTGATGATATTCTCCAGCCGGCTGCGCAGCGAATTGGTGTGCGAGTCCACGATATCGATGTCGTCGCCACCCGTTTGCATAGCCTGGGCAAGGACCGCTTTCAGCGATGCGGACACCTTAGGGGTGCGGTATTCCTGGGTCGTACGGCAGGGCATTTCCAGCTCGTAGCTGACTATATTCTCGCTTTTGAAGCGTAGGGAACTCGGGGCATTCGATTTTCCCTCCTGCAGAGCATATTCGGATATGGGTCTTCGCCGCTGCGGATGAGACACCGGACGCTTGCTGCTGAACTTGCCATCGCCGCCTGGTGGCGTGGGCAACGTCATCGATGAAAACTTCCACTCCTCCTGCTCCTCGTCGTACTTGGCCTGCGTATACAGGCGCTGCTTCACCTCAATGGGCACAAAGTTGTCAATGATCAGCAGTTGCCGCTTCAATTCCTTCACCAGCTCGTTCTGGGCCATCTCCAGTTCACGCAGATCCTGATTGTGATCGGACTTGCAGTCGTTTAGCTCCTGCTGCAGGGCCAAGTACTTGGCATAGCACTTGGATAGCTTGCGCTTCTTCAGTTCCACTTCCTGTTCCAAGGATACGTTGCGCTCGCGTATCTCCAGAGTAGTCTCTTCTTGAAGCTCCAGCTGCTGCTGGATTTCAATTTCTCTCTTTTTGCGCTCTGCGATCTCGACAAGCTTCTTCTCCAATTCGATTTGACGCTCGCTGTAGGTATCCAGCAGGTTCTTGCCACCGCGCACCAACTGTCCTTCCAACTCGGCCAATTTGGCGGCTAACTTGGCGTTCTCTACTCGCTCGCGTTCCAGTTCTTCATTGGACTTGGCCACTTCGGCCTCGTTCTCCTTATCCGACTCGGGCTCATCGGCTTCCGGTTCGCTTTCTTCCTCCGCCTGAGGCTCCATCGTTGATGTCTGCAAGGAACCCGAGATTTCTTTCGAAACATGCTCCTTTTTGGGCTTCTTCACTTTCTGCTTCTTGGCCGTGGCTTGCTTTTCGGTGCGCTGTTGCTGCTGTGGAGCGATGAGCCGCTTGAGTCGTTCGATCTCCGCCTGGTATTCCTTCAGCTTAGCATCCTGAGGATCCTCGTTCTTGACGGGCTGGTTCTGGATGGATTTAGCACGCGAGGCGTATCTCAAGGTGGTCAGTGTTTCGTTATAGTTGTAATTGGAGGGTCCGATGTTGGCAATCATTATGGTTTTCGAATTGCCACCCAGGGAGTCCTGCAGTAAACGCGTCAGCTTGGAGTCGCGATATGGAACGTGGGGCGAGCTTTCTGCCAAGGCGGAGATCACGTTGCCCAGCGAGGACAGAGCCAGGTTGATTTTGCTGGCCTCCTTCAAGCGCTCTGCTGAAGCTCCAGTCTTCGACTGCCTCTCACTGCCCGCCAGATCGATGAGATTCAGCTTGCCAACCTTTATGGTGTTTGTTTCAGTGTCACACATCTCAATCTTGATCATGAATATGGCATGGGATCTAGAAAACAAAGTGTTTGGGTAATTATCTTGGAAGAAATATAGAAACTTACCTGGAACTGTGTTCATTCATGTTGGTAAAGCCCACAGTTCTGTTTTTGTTGCCCAGCTGCATCACCCGCACCATGTCGTCCACGCTCTTGCAGTTAATGGCATGCAGATTGGGTACATAGACTCCAGATCCCCGCTCCCGCACTTCCAACTGCTTAGAGTTGGGCTTCAGCAGATCCCGCAGCTCCTCCATGTAGATCTCCAGGTAGGAGACGTCCACCAGGAACTGAAAATTCTCGGTGCGGTTGATGTGCAACCAGATCTGCTCGAAGGTACGCGGTATGATACCCATTAGTTCGTCATTTCCGCGTACGCCCTCCATTGTGAAGGTTTTTCCAGTGCCCGTTTGTCCATATGCGAAGATGCATCCGTTGAAGCCTTCCAGGACGGAGCTGACCAGGGGAAAGACGACTTCATGGTACAATGTCGTCTGCGAAGCGGTGGCATCGTATGCAGCATCATAGGTGAAGACCTTGCGCTGCTCCTTGTTCGCATCTACCACGTTTTGAAGCTCCACCACGCCCCGGTTGGGATAAACGTTGACCACTTCCGGTGAGCCCTCGGATCGCTCCCGGTTACTCATCGGCCTGCACCGGACCACCACCTGGACACATTCGTTGGGTGTCTGGCTGCCGGCGGTGCCGGGGCGCCTGCTCTTCGCACTCATTTTGCTGTTATGACTAAGGTTGCTCCTCCTCTGCTCCGCTCGTGTCTCCACCCCTCTCTTCGGCCAACAGAATTCGAGTAGCTGTAGCGACGGCAAACAAATGACGAATAAAATCAATAATCCACTCCTGACGCAATCGTAAGCGTTCAAAGTATTTTTCTCAGCTTTTCACGCATTGCCGAAATCTTTTTGTTAACTGGAGCAATTGGCAAACGAATTTGGCAATTTACTCTTATTACCTTTTATGTTGAAGCCAATTACTTCACCTTGAATTCGATTTTTTTTTGTCTCAGCTGCGAATAACAGTGGTTGGCTCAAATGCGCAGTGTGGCCAGATACCCAGGTGCAAACTTATCCAACGATAAGGTAATACTGATTTTTGTGCGGATATTTAAAAAATTATATATTTTGATTTTAATATTACCCGCTCAAGATTTCAAAACAAACTAAAAAATTTATTAAAAATTTTACTATTTTTAATAACTTTTCTTTTATAAAATGAGTTATATTTTAAACATTTTAGATACCATTTACTTTTTTCGCGACTTGCTTGATGAAGATGATGAGTTTTCACCTCGTTTTCTTTTATTAAGGGGATTCCGGGGATCGTAGGCATCGTACCAATCGTCTCCTTTACTATTAGCATCTTTAGCCAAAACAGGTGCCGTGCTATTAAAGTTTAAGGTATGAGATAACCAATCGTCGCCGATTATTTCCTGTTCAACTGCTTTCTCGTCTAGATCTTGGGGTTCTGGCTCAACCTCATCAGATCCAGTCTTTTGCTTTAGGTTGTCCAGTTTTGTACGGAATTTAGATAATAGGCTCAATGTAAATTCCTCCCTACAAAAATAAATTAAATTTATTAAAGAAAATAAAAGGCAGAAAAGAATAAAACCATACCTTGACTGTCCTTTGGGTTGGAGTTTCACCTTGGCGGTATATTTCTCCTTGAACTGTATAAAATCTTTAATATAATGATTATCGGTATCCCCTTTGATTTCCTCTTTCGAGGCTTTCTCCTGGGTACTTGAAAGTAGCTTGTCTTTGTTTTGCTTGTCCAATTGATACTGCTTTTTGAGCGAAGCTATTTCCTCCCGAATTTTTGATCTGGAATGAAAACACTTATTTAAATGCCACTTAAAGAGAAGACTTAAAGAGCATACTTTTCTTCGGATATTTTTCGACTTTGCTCCTTTTCTCGGGTCATTAAAACATCCTCGTCGTCGTCTGAATCACTCTCTTCTACTACTTCCTTAACCTTCTTCTCGGATCGACTTTTAGAACCCTTTGATAGCTTATTCTTGACGAGATCTGAGTAAGACTTTGACGAAGGCTTCTCCATGTCGTTATCTTCTTGGTAGTCGTCTGAAAGACGTTCCTCGCTCTCGGCTTTTTCAACTTTCGGCACCCTTACTGGTTCTTTGCTCAGTTTAGGGTCATCCACATTGTCGTGTAGAGATTTGGCCTTCCCGGCGTTTTTTTTAACGTAAACATTTGTTTCTTCCTCATCACCCTCGGCTTCTTCTCCAAAGGAAAGTAGTCCAAAGTTTCTGCAGCAATAAAGGAAATAATTATTATTGAATACTAAAAACTAGAATATAAATGAAGCAAATATTGTTTTGTTTCAAACTGGAAACATTTCTAATAATAACATTTGCTAAGGTTTTTAGTTACGGGCTATAGTTAGATGTCGAGGACTTACTTAACTCCCTGGCGTTCTTTTTTGTTTTTCTTGCTTTTTGTTGGCTTGGCCAGAATGCGAGGAACAATGTCATCGAAGGGATTGCTTAGTACCTCGGTGGCCACTATACGATGGGGGTGCATGGGCCGCTCCTGGTGGTCCACGATTCCCTCTTCCAGCTTGAGCATGTTGAAGATGGTATCGCCGGTGATCTTGCCAAACAATGTGTTCTTGTTCTGGAGTTCCGGCGTGGGTGCGAACGTGAAGAAGAACTGCGACCCGTTGTCGTCCTTGCCGGAGTTGGCCATTCCCACCAAACCTCTCCGCGTGTACCGTAGTCGTGAATGAAACTCATCCTTAAACGGATGTCCATAGATGGACTCGCCACCGGTGCCGTCGCCATTAGGATCACCTCCCTGGACGATGAATCCCTTGACAAGCCGGTGGAACTCGGTGTTCTTGTAGTAGCCTTCCAAGCAGAGCTGCACAAAGTTGCGGCAGGCTTTGGGGCACTCTCGTGCCCACAGCTCTATGTCAATGTCCCCAACGGTGGTCTTCAGAAGAACCTTGCCCGATGTTAGCGGCTCTTGGATGTAAATATTGCTCATCTTACTCGGTCAATAAATATCATAACTCTGGAAATTTGTAAATAATAATGATTTACTAACGCGTTTTCAATTAATCGATAAGTTTTTAAAAGTAATCGAATGTTTCCGTCATTTTTAAATTAAATACCGAAATTATTTATGGCGGGCTTGTAGTATTTGAATTTTTAAACATAAAGTCTTTGTCTTTGAAATATTTACAAATAAATATGGAAATAATGGAAGAAATTATGAACTTAGTAGGCGACGTATATGTATGCAGGACTTATCGATAGCTTTTTATTCAATATCCTTGATAAAAGGAAACTTTTATACCGTTACTTAGCAACCTTTGGTGTTTCCGGTGTAAAATAATTCTTTTAGATAGGGGCGTTTTTTCGTAGAATTAAATATGAATTTTACCGACGATCCGCTAGCAGATTTGCTAAGTGACAATAGCTTGGACAATGACAGCTTTTTCGATGCGCCAGGAGGCTTGAAAAAACAAGCCAAACCGGGAAAGCCCAAGGGAAAGCTTGAGGATTTATTTGGCATACAAGAGGAGACGGAGGCGGATGTACAGGGACAGGGCCAGCGTGCCAAAGGCAGACCCATTGCTGCCAGCACGCCGAGGATTGTAAAGCAGAAACCTTCTATCTCTCTGGATGACGATGCCGGCGAAGACGATGACTTGGGCTTTGATCCCAAGCGGCCAAAGAGTGGTGGAGCAAAAATAAACCTTTTTGATGATTTACTGGAACCAAAGAAAAATATTTTCGATGAGATACTAACTGGAGGTGAGGCCTCGAAACGTCCTTCCACTGCCAAACCATCAATGTCGCGACAATCCACGGATACAACCACGGAGAACTCACAAGCAAGGCCCAAGACTTCCACAGGACGAAGAAGCTCCGCCCAATCTGCTACAGTTAATGCTGATCCGCTGGGACTCTTTGGCAAGGATACAAATGCCACAGTGTCCGGAATGTCCACTCCAGTTTCCAGAAAACGAGGAACTACAGCAGATTGGTTGGGTCTTGAGGCAGCAGCAGCCTCCGCTGCAGCCATTGTGGACCAAGAAAGGCCAAGTACACCGAAACCTGTAGTCTCCAAGGAGCCGATAGAAGTCAGTACTTCTGCCAAAAACCCCACTGACATCCTACGATTGCCGGATTCTGATGAAAATGACCAAGATCAGGAAGCTGAAATCCCTGCCGTAGCTCCTTCAAGTACTGCTACGCAGAATATTCTGATGCTAAGTAGTCTCAATATGGAGAGCAGTCATAAATTTAATGCTCTTCAGCAACAGGAAGCTCAGCTGGTAATTGCTGCCCAGATGAAGAACCAGGAGCGCACCTTAATGGAGATGCAGCGGCGCCAGGAGAACCAGGATCGAAAGTTCCAGGCTTTAATCCAGCAGCAGCTACAGCGCCAGCAACAAATGGAGGAGAATATCAAGGGCCAGCAGGAGCGCATTAACATGCACATCCAGCTTATGATGGCGCAGCCTGTTCATGTCCAAGAGATTCCTGCTGCCATAGCAGAAAAGCCAGAAAAGAATAACATGGATACTACGAGGGAGGCTAGCAAGGAACAGGAGCTCTTACTCCAGCTCGAAACGGATGTAAAGCGCAATATGCTGGAGAAGCAGCGACTGGAGGAACTGGTGGCCAACATGAAGGTGAACTACGAACAGGAAATTGAAATGATTGATACATCCTACAAGTAAGTACTAAGATAAGGGTTTATGATGGTAAGGAGATTATGATTCATTTCTCTTTCCTCAGGAAACAACTTAAAGTCCTGGAGGAGCACTTGGCGGCAGTTGAGGAGCGCCTGAAGCTGGAGAACACTGAGCTACGTCAATACTACACTGAAAAGCTAGAGAAGCTTAAAGAAGACTATATGGAACAAATCTCCAACTTAAAACAGGACCATGAAGATGAGGTGCGAAAACTCCGACATTCACACGAATTGGATTTAGAGGGCATAAGACAGGCCAAGTCTCTGGAACTATCGGCTGTACAGGATCACGGGAACTATCTGGAAACGTTACGACTGGCGTCGGACAATATTCAGGAGCTGCGGGACGGGATGAGTGGCAGTCAGGAGAGAGAGCGACAACTGGATATCCGTGAACGTCGGCTGGCCGATCAGGAGAGACGGCTTAAGATCGACGAGGAGACAGCTGACCAGGAGAAACGTCGCCTTATGGAACTGGTCAGCACATTAGAACTACAGTTGGGACGCCTTTCCAAGGAGTCCGCCGAGGAGAACTGGCAGCTTCGACAGCGCATGGCCAGTTTGGAGGCGGAGCGGAAGGCCTTCGAACGCGAAAAGGAGTTCCACCGCGAGCAGATGGAGCGGGATGAGAAGCGAGTGGAGGAATTAAAGTCGCTCCAGTTGGCAGAAACCGAACGATTGCACAACGACCTGCAACAGGAGCGCACCCAGTTGGCAGTGGAACGCCAGAAACTCGAGTTGCAGCACAAGTTGCACGAGCATGGTGACTTGGACAAGGATCGATTGGAGCTGGAAGCGCAGCTCAAAGTGGCTCGCGATGCCATTCGGCGGGCGGATGAGGAGCGGGATCGCTGCCACAAGCTGCAAAGGGAAGTGGAGCAACGCAAACGTCATCTTCTGGACAAGGAGAATGCCCTGAATCTCAAGGAGGACGAGCTGGGACAGGCCACTAGTGCATATCGTATGGCCACCAGTCGCACCCACATGGCTGAGCAAAAGGCTCGCGAGGCAGACCAGTTGCTTCAGGCGAAGCTACAGCTCTTGGGTAAGAGGGCTCACGAGCTCGGCGAGAAGGAGGCGCAGATAGCACAGGAGCGAATGCTCCTAGCCCAGGACCGCATAGCCATTCATAATCTGAAAAAGAAAATCGGGAAAAGTAGATGTGCCCTCTGCAGGATGGGAGCAGAAAGTGCCGAGTTGGCTTTGCGCTCAGATCGTAGGGGAAATCTACAAAACATCGCCGACCATCCCTTGCCTTCCATGCCGCCCAGCAATGCCGAGCTACTTCTCAAAATGGCCGCCACTGAGCCAGGCCAGGCTCAGAGCGATATTGTGGATCGACTGTTGGACGAGAATATTGAAGCTTCTTATCGCAGGATGTACAATGTGGCGCCCAGCAGTTCCTTAGACGAGGCAGAATATGGCTTGGTTGGTGGAATGGACGATGATTCGAAAGCAGCCAGGAATCTAGATCTTGATGATGCATTTTTGGCTACCCTGAAGTAGAGCTTACTTTCTAGAGCCAAGTAAAAATAGTTTAAAATATGCTTGAAAATTTTTAAAATAAAATAAATCCATGGATTTTGAAGGGGACCCCCTAGAAAATTTGGAAAAAATCGAATAAATATTTTGTGTTCAGGTTTTGATGCAGAATTGATCTACAAATCGTTTAAGGTAATCCGCTCAAGAATCGGATAAGAGATGATCCAGCTATGGCCATCGCTGTGGGCCAAGTTGTCCTTTTATGGATTTTGATGGAGACCAAACAGAAAAATTTGGAAAAAATCGAAAAAATATTTTGTGTTCAGGTTTTGATGCAGAATGATGGAGAATGGATCTACAAATCGTTTAAGGTAATCCGCTGAAGAATCGGATAAGAAATGATCGAGCTATGGCCATCGCTGTGAGCCATGTTGTCCTTTTATTGATTTTGAAGGGGACCCCCTAGAAAATTTGGAAAAAATCGAAAAAATATTTTGTGTTCAGGTTTTGATGCAGAATGATGGAGAATGTATCTACAAATCGTTTAAGGTAATCCGCTCAAGAATCGGATAAGAAATGATCGAGCTATGGCCATTGCTGTGGGCCATGTTGTCCTTTTATGGATTTTGAAGGGGACCAAACAGAAAAATTTGGAAAAAATCTAAAAAATATTTTGTGTTCAGGTTTTGATGCAGAAAGATGGAGAATGGATCTACAAATCGTTTAAGGTAATCCGCTGAAGAATCGGATAAGAAATGATCGAGCTATGGCCATCGCTGTGAGCCATGTTGTCCTTTTATTGATTTTGAAGGGGACCCCCTAGAAAATTTGGAAAAAATCGAAAAAATATTTTGTGTTCAGGTTTGGATGCAGAATGATGGAGAATGGATCTACAAATCGTTTAAAGTAATCCGCTCAAGAATCGGATAAGAAATGATCGAGCTATGGCCATTGCTGTGGGCCATGTTGTCCTTTTATGGATTTTGAAGGGGACCAAACAGAAAAATTTGGAAAAAATCTTAAAAATATTTTGTGTTCAGGTTTTGATGCAGAATGATGGAGAATGTATCTACAAATCGTTTAAGGTAATCCGCTCAAGAATCGGATAAGAAATGATCGAGCTATGGCCATTGCTGTGGGCCATGTTGTCCTTTTATGGATTTTGAAGGGGACCAAACAGAAAAATTTGGAAAAAATCTAAAAAATATTTTGTGTTCAGGTTTTGATGCAGAAAGATGGAGAATGGATCTACAAATCGTTTAAGGTAATCCGCTGAAGAATCGGATAAGAAATGATCGAGCTATGGCCATCGCTGTGAGCCATGTTGTCCTTTTATTGATTTTGAAGGGGACCCCCTAGAAAATTTGGAAAAAATCGAAAAATATTTTGTGTTCAGGTTTTGATGCAGAATGATGGAGAATGGATCTACAAATCGTTTAAGGTAATCCGCTGAAGAATCGGATAAGAAATCATCGAGCTATGGCCATCGCTGTGAGCCATGTTGTCCTTTTATTGATTTTGAAGGGGACCCCCTAGAAAATTTGGAAAAAATCGAAAAAATATTTTGTGTTCAGGTTTGGATGCAGAATGATGGAGAATGGATCTACAAATCGTTTAAGGTAATCCGCTCAAGAATCGGATAAGAAATGATCGAGCTATGGCCATCGCTGTGAGCCATGTTGTCCTTTTATTGATTTTGAAGGGGACCCCCTAGAAAATTTGGAAAAAATCGAAAAATATTTTGTGTTCAGGTTTTGATGCAGAATGATGGAGAATGGATCTACAAATCGTTTAAGGTAATCCGCTGAAGAATCGGATAAGAAATCATCGAGCTATGGCCATCGCTGTGAGCCATGTTGTCCTTTTATTGATTTTGAAGGGGACCCCCTAGAAAATTTGGAAAAAATCGAAAAAATATTTTGTGTTCAGGTTTGGATGCAGAATGATGGAGAATGGATCTACAAATCGTTTAAGGTAATCCGCTCAAGAATCGGATAAGAAATGATCGAGCTATGGCCATCGCTTTGGCCATGTTGTCCTTTTATGGATTTTGAAGGGGACCCCCTAGAAAATTTTGAAAAAATCGAAAATATATTTTTTGTTCAGGTTTTGATGCAGAATGATGGAGAATGTATCTACAAATCGTTTAAGGTAATCCGCTCAAGAATCGGATAAGAAATGATCGAGCTATGGCCATCGCCGTGGGCCATGTTGTCCTTTTATGGATTTTGAAGGGGACCCCCTAGAAAATTTGGAAAAAAAACTAAAAAATATTTTATGTTCAGGTTTTGATGCAGAATAACGTTTTTTTTTGATCGTTTTTTATGAAAGTATAGGCATTCCAAAATCTTACAATCTTAATAATTTTAAAATATAATTTTAAAGAATTTTGAATCTTGATTTTAAAAGTTTAATAAATCTGACAACCATAAAAGCCCGACTTGTTGCTTTTGAATAGGGTTGCCTAACCCGTACTTCGATAACTTATCGTAGTATTTTTATAGAAGCTGGTCACACACTCTTATTCATCCCAGAAAGAAGCGACTATTTTATTGTAAATTTAAACAGAATGTAAATAGTGAAAAAGAGTGCGAAAAGCATATTTAAGTTTAAGCTCGTTAATCAGTATTCCGCGTCTCCTGGTTTTAATCTTTTAATCCGTTTTTGTCCCTGCTTTTATTGTGTTGTGTTCGTATTTTGTGTGTCAGCATATGTGTGTGGGTGTGTAGGAGGAGAAGCACCTTACCTTCTTCTCGAAATAACATTTGAAAAACTGAAAACTTCACCTGTTTTGGGTCAACAGCTTAGATGTCAACGTGGGAATAACCCAAAAAAAAAAACGACCCAAAGTACTGGGTAAATGGAACTCGAACCCCCAGATAGATTTTGAGACGATACCAGTAGGAACAGCGGTGGCGACACCTTAAAAAGCAAGTAAGTTGGCAATAATGGAGACGAGCACGAGAAACACACCTACCTATATTTTTATGTTAATCTCCATTATCGTTGGCTTGTCATTCACCCTCCACCCAATTTTCGCTGTTTTGTAGCTGATTGCCATTTCTCCCTCCATCCCGCCCTCCCGCTTTCACTTCCAAACTAAATGTTTATTAATTTATTTGATGGTTGTTGATGAATAGTTAAAGTCAGGCCACATAGTATATTGATTTACCTTAACCTTTGCGTCCTCGCTCTCTTTATGTTTTCCCCTAGCCGGTCGGTCATGTTTTCTTATCTGCTCTTCCATTTCCTTTCGCATTCCTCTCTCTCTCTGCGTCTCTCTGTTTATGCCGAACAGCTGTTTCCTATCTCTATGAGAGATTGATTTTCGAATTTTGAATGAAAATAAACCCTGTACAGATTGTTTATATTATTTGTATACTGGGTATATATAGATGCTCTGACTCGGCTGATTTTTATTGAAACCAATTGATGCCGCCTTATTGAATCTTTATGGCGTATTGTTTATATTATAGTATGGCCTGCTCATAGCCTCATTTTTTTCTCATTGAAACTTTGATAAAAAAGTCTAGAATATTATGTACAAGATTGGGAAACATTTTTTGCATGTCGCAATTTTTTGCTCCACTTCCTCTACTTTGGGGTTACTGGGCGATAAACAAAAAATTCCCATAAAAAAATAGTTTTATGATTAAATTATATGAGAATTCTTTTGTAATATTTGTCATTTTTCTCTCAAAAAATGTAATTTGTGACGTTCTTTTTAATCAGCTTTTGAGTCACCCGATTGGTGATTACCCATTACTGATCGGAGCCCTCCTTATCGTTGTATTTCACCTGCCCAGGTACTCACAATCTAACATATTCTACACTGCCTAATCGCCTTTATCGCCGCTTGCCTGTTATCGCATAGATAGGGAAACGCCTTTGCCTTTGTTTGCTTAGAAGGCTAACACACAACATGTAGTTGACGAAATTCTAAAGCTCACTCTTCGTTTTGGTTGGCATTTTTTCAGTACAACGGATTGGATTGGAACGGACGAACGGACGCTGCTGTGGGGAGAATGTCAAACCAGGCCCAGATCGACTACGACAAGCAGTTCCAGGATGACTTGGCCAAAGCAACGGCGCTGAGCTTGGAGCAGCAGGCCCTCGACGACTATCGACGTCACAAGAAGTACGGAACTGCCTATCGGCCAAGTAGCTCAGCGGCTACTCCTGCAGCGGCTGCATCAGCTAGAGAGTACCATGTTGCCCAGCGTAGCCAGAGCGTTAATCAGGGACGCCGGCACTCGGAGGTCCATCCGACTCTCGCTACGCCGGTCAGCTTGGACCGATCGCGAACACCTCCTGCCCAGGTGCCGGATAACGACCTGATCTGCTTCGCCAGTCCGACTAGCAAGCAGCCGGAAAACGATAGTCCCTTCGGGCGACTCATTGAGGATCTGCAGCGGATTCAAACGACCAATCCGCAATCGGCAATGGTTCCCGTGGGTCCGGTGGCAGCTGCTTCGCTGCCCGCCCACTATGGATTTGTACCACCCTCGCCCCACGTCCAGCCGCCTCCCTACGGAATGGTGGGTGCACCGGCTGGTGGAATGCAGTTGGTGCCTTACCAGGCCCCAGCTGCTCCCCAGCAGAGGCCCCTAAATAACGAGGAACTTCAGCGGCTGTACAGTCTGCCAGCCCAGATGGCCCAAATGCAGGTGGTGGCGCAGCCCAATGCCATTTATTACTATCCGGGAGCCGTGGTAACCCCACCAGTAGTACCCGGATCGGCGGCCTTTATGCCACCCCAATATCCTGCCCAGTCGTATCGATTCGGAGGTGGCTTCACGCATATGGATTTGTCCCAGCCGCGTCCACCGCCAACTCCGTCGGCCAGCAGCCAACCGTCCAGTCATTCCGCTCCACCCCCAACTCCAGCCAATGGAGGGCCAGTCAAGGCACGTCGACCAGTACCCTCGACGGCCAGTATTAGCTCCAGTTCCAATGGCCAACGAAGTGGCAACGATTTAATAGACCTCAATCAGGATGAATAGTAAGTACTATTAAATTTTATGACTAATGTA